GTCGTCTCAACGCGAGCGACTTTGCCATCGGCTGTGCCTGTATGCAATTTGATGATGAAGACAGCGAGCGCTTCGTCAGCTTCCAGTCCAGACAGATGAAGCCAGCAGAGCGCAACTACCCTGTTCACGACAAGGAGTCCCTCGCGATGCGCTACGCTCTGATCAAGTTCAGAGTGTACTTGTTGGACGAGAAGACCTTCGCAGTGTCACGTTCGTCCACACCGTCACGGTCTGAGACCTGGCCGTGCGCGGCGTCAGAACCACCTCCGCAGTCTTCAGCCACCTCGCATCGCTCGACTGCAACTCGCCCGACACTTGCCATCCACCATCGCTCTTCACGCGGTGCAGCAGCACGAAGTCGCTCCAACGAGGAACTGCCATGCTCACGCTCTGCACGTCCAGCCGAGCGTCGACCAGCAACGCAGACGCGCGATCCAAAGCCACAGACACTAACTGCCTCGGCGGCAACGATACCGTCTCGTTCACGAATACCATCGAGCGCAGCGCCACAGACAGGTCCAGGTCGCGACGCCGCCATGAGATCGCCAGCGGACACACCACTTCCACCCGCTGCGCCGCATTCCGCTTCTCCCGGAACACCAGCACCAAAGAACCACGGAATACACCCGAGAATGACGCCACCGGGTACACCTGCAGCAAGCCTGCTGCCGACCCGTCCGATCCGTTTGACGCCAGCGTTGACAAAGCCACATTCGACACATTCGACACGCTACCGCCAGCGCGCGTCCGTACGTCGGCCTGCACGCCGTCGAAGACCAACGCGCTCAGTGACGTGTCCGTGTCGCGCCCGCGAACTTCCACGTCTACTGACCAGTACTCCGACCACACCGCAGAGCTGTCCAGCGACGTGCCCAACGCGCCCAAGTCCGCCATCGAAACCAACGCAGCCTCGTCCTCCCGGCTCTCCACCACGATCGGCTGTAGCAGTGCAGTCGACACCAGAGGCCGAGGGTCCGGTATGCTCCGGACCAAGTGAGAGATCTCCACCACCACAGATTGCGACGACACCGCGTCCACCAGTGTCACGTTCGTCCTCACCGTCACGGTCTGAGACTTGGCCGTGCGCGGCGCCAGAACCACCTCCGCAGTCTTCAGCCACCTCGCATCGCTCGACTGCAACTCGCCCGACACTTGCCATCCACCATCGCTCTTCACGCGGTGCAGCAGCACGAAGTCGCTCCAACGAGGAACTGCCATGCTCACGCTCTGCACGTCCAGCCGAGCGCGGACCAGCAACGCAGACGCGTGATCCAAAGCCACAGACACTAACTGCCTCGGCGGCAACGATACCGTCTCGTTCACGAATACCATCGAGCGCAGCGCCACAGACAGGTCCAGGTCGCGACGCCGCCATGAAATCGCCAGCGGACGCACCACTTCCACCCGCTGCGCCGCATTCCGCTTCTCCCGGAACACCAGCACCAAAGAACCACGGTATACACCCGAGAATGACGCCACCGGGTACACCTGCAGCAAGCCTGCTGCCGACCCGTCCGATCCGTTTGACGCCAGCGTTGACAAAGCCACATTCGACACGCTACCGCCAGCGCGCGTCCGTACGTCGGCCTGCACACCGTCGAAGACCAACGCGCTCAGTGACGTGTCCATGCCGCGCCCGCGAGCTTCCACGTCTACCGACCAGTACTCCGACCACACCGCAGAGCTGTCCAGCGACGTGCCCAACGCGCCCAAGTCCGCCATCGAAACCAACGCAGCCTCGTCCCCCCGGCTCTCCACCACGATCGGCTGTAGCACAGTCGACACCAGAGACCGAGGGTCCGGCATGCTCCGGACCAAGTGAGAGACCCTCACCACCACGGATCGCAACGACACCGCGTCCACCAGTGTCACGTTCGTCCACACCGTCACGGTCTGAGACCTGGCCGTGCGCGGCGTCAGAACCACCTCCGCAGTCTTCAGCCACCTCGCATCGCTCGACTGCAACTCGCCCGACACTTGCCATCCACCATCGCTCTTCACGCGGTGCAGCAGCACGAAGTCGCTCCAACGAGGAACTGCCATGCTCACGCTCTGCACGTCCAGCCGAGCGTCGACCAGCAACGCAGACGCGCGATCCAAAAACACAAACACTAATTGCCTCGGCGGCAACGATACCGTCTCGTTCACAAATACCATCGAGCGCAGCGCCACAGACAGGTCCAGGTCGCGACGCCGCCATGAGATCGCCAGCGGACGCACCACTTCCACCCGCTGCGCCGCATTCCGCTTCTCCCGGAACACCAGCACCAAAGAACCACGACATACACCCGAGAATGACGCCACCGGGTACACCTGCAGCAAGCCTGCTGCCGACCCGTCCGATCCGTTTGACGCCAGCGTTGACAAAGCCACATTCGACACATTCGACACGCTACCGCCAGCGCGCGTCCGTACGTCGGCCTGCACACCGTCGAAGACCAACGCGCTCAGTGACGTGTCCATGCCGCGCCCGCGAACTTCCACGTCTACCGACCAGTACTCCGACCACACCGCAGAGCTGTCCAGCGACGTGCCCAACG